AGTGTATGACCTACGTTAATCCTAGTTGTTATTTCTATATTGAATATTCATTTCTGAAAGTTTGTATAGCAATTCACTTGTTAGAATAGATATTTAAGCACCAATCAAATAAAAATTGGATATTTAAAAGTAGATTTAGTGTTATTATTTTTATTATGGAAGGTGAAAATATCACGTTTTGCTATAATGAAGCTTCCTCAAGCAGGACTGCTTGACAGGTTCCACTGTTTTGTGAAATTTTCATTATGAAAATTATAGCAATCAATATTTGTTTTCTATAATAGAAACGTTATCAGAATGCCAAAAACATAATTTACTTTCTTCCAATTTTATATAAAAGTGCTCCCCAAAAGTAAAAAAATGATTACAAGCTCATTACTGATTTTTGTCATAAATAATACCTTTTAATCGTACTAGTATTGTGTATTATCTATAATTTGCCACAACCTACAACTCTACTACTTACTATATTTTGATTCTGCTATAAACTGGTAACGTAAAATTTAGATATGACAACGCGCTTTACTCTCAATCATTATTGGTTTTACTATAGGTTAGATATTGCACATCTATTTCTGTTTTGAAATCTGTTTTTCAGTTAACCAGCTGTCGCTTCCCTACGAACGAAAACTCTCAAAAGTCGAAACTTGTGCGAGCTAAGGACTAACGGGTTGAACGACAGGAAATGTAAATCGATCAACCGGCCTCGCGGCTTGAACCACCGATACACACAGCAGTCGATTGATTAAGTGGAGCAAATTACCCACGTCAACCAACCAGGCTACCGTCCCACTACCATTGCTGTACCAATTGCAGACTACTCAGGAGAAATTTATGCTTATAAATAAATATGTTTGAAAAACTGAAAAACACGCCTTTAAAGAACATCGAACTAAAGTTAAAAATTTATTTTTCTTCAAATGACCTTGAAACAATAACGAACGAAAAATAGTAGAATTATTGTGAAAAAAGCGACGGGCGGTTGATATACAAAAAATATAGCACAAAGCGCCCACGCTTTTTTCACAATAATACTAGTATTTTTCGTTCGTTATTGTTTTAAGCTTATTTGAAAGCGTGTTTTTTATACTATATTTATTTTTCATTTTTTAGTTTCGTACGCTATCAAATCGTGTTTTTTAGTCTTTTCAAACTATATTTATTTTATCTAAACGTTGGGATCAATCAGCCGTATATTGGTTAGAAAAATGACCATTGACATTTTCCGACTTCGGAGAGGGAGCCTGAAAATCTGCTACCAAGCGCAAGGCAGCAGGCGCTCAAAAGAGGGTTACAAATGACAGTAGGAGCGCGTGTTAATGAGATGTAGAAATACATGTAAAGTAAGTTCGAATTATATCAAGGCGGTTACGTGCAGCGCCATCTGCCCGCGAATAGATCAAGCAATGATGTAGATATATCAAGGAGATTACGTGCAGAGCCATCTGCCTGGAAATAAATCAAGCAAAAATGTCGATATATCAAGGAGGTTATGTACAGCGCTATCTGCCCGCGAATAGATCAAACAAGAAGAGGTACAAACAAACATACATACTTATAGGTGAAGCTAATAAAAGCGTGGTAATTAAAAAAAAAAGAGCCACAAAACTAAATTTTTTGACCTAGTAGGGTCAAATATGGATTGTTTGCACGAACATTTGAATGCTGATTATCAAGCTGGAATGCGATTTTTATTTTTAAACCCAGTCATCTCTAAAAATTTGGTTTCTATTTTTATTTCATTGAAATCATGAAAATATAACAGATCGAAGTCACTGAACGGAGTTGAACAAAAGTAAAAAACAGTGCAATCGTTTCTGTGATAATGTAATATTGCTACAAAAACTTCGAAAGTAACTGATGTTATATTGCCACTCTTGTTTCTTACTTTTCTTTGGTATATAACTTTCCAAGATCTGAAATTTGATAGAAAATCTGCTGATTATTCAAATTTTAGTCGGAATTTATGATTATTGACTAATTGAACTCTTCAGCAGTTTTATTAAACAGTAACTTTTTGGGGTGAACTTCTCAGTTTGCTTTCAATTAGCAGATTGTCTATTGATTTAGATTCTTTAGTTTTCCAGAATGTGGAAGATTATAGACCTTAAAAACGGTGAGAAACATTGACTCAGTTCTTCAAAAAAATTATTCTCAAACAATATTGTTACTCTAATTTGAAATTTTCTGTGAATTTTTGAGTATTCAATATAAAAAAATATTATCAATCGAGTCGTCATGAGAGGTAGGTATATGAATGATATATGCTCAAATGACAACTTGAAAAACGACCTATTTGAACACTTTTCAAAAAAACATCGTCAATAATTTTGTAGATGTAATAAATTCACCTTTAGAAAGCACTGTATATAAAAATGAACTCCACCATTTCATCTGACCAGAATCTGTCATTGGCATTGCTTTAGACTTTGTCAAACAAAGATTGAACCCCTGGATGGCAAGAAGATTTATGGACTTTCGGCAGAATCTTCCAGGATTGGGGCCCTCCAAGGAATTTATTCACCCTTTGAAGTTGGATATCAGTAGAGATGAACTATGGTGTCTAACAGGCCTTCTTACAGGTACTGTCATTTGAATCCTCATATGCAGAGACTGGGACTGTCGGAAGACAGTGTGTGTCGCCTCTGTTTGGAAAATGATGGAACAGCAGAGAACATACTTTGTGCCTACCCCGCTGGGGATAGAATAAGATTTTTAAAGTTTGACAGAGCCGTACTCTTACCTTCTGACCTGAAAGACTACCCACCATACAAACTAATCAGCTTCGTTGGGAAGCTGGGTTTATTTGGTCCAGTGTGAATAGATGTAAGCGGTAGAAGGTTCAATAGACCCACTCACGTTGGACCTAACCTAACCTAATATAAACATGAACTCCATCAAAATAAAATGGTACAAACTTTAAAATTATGAAACTTCTGAAGTCTCTACTTTCAAAATTTTGTGATAGGCAATGAATATAGGAAGTGTTAGAACTACTGCCCTCATACATACATTTTATATCTGCCTTGATTTTACTTGAACATGTGCATCAATTCGGACTGTGAATGAAATTATGGTTATCATACTTTGAAACATAATATAACGAATTGAAGCAAGAAATTATTCGATCGTACTTCATCAACATCTATGATAATTTCATCGCATTGTTTTTAGCGATCATGAAATCATATTTCTTTTGTTGGAATGGAGGGATTTGTAGTTGCGTCAATAAGATAAATTGTATTCGAAAATTTTTCCTGAACTTCATTCAAGAAACGAATAACATTTCATCAACTCTATCTGCTATGATTGCTGAAGACCTAGTCCTATGTTATTTCATTTGAATGTCGACTAGGTCCACATAAAATTCCTTGCAAAGGATAAAACTGCATATACGTTCATTTTCCTGACAAAAACCAAGTTAATTGCTTAAAGAAATTGAAATGCTAATTTCATATGGTGATCTGAAGAGCTCTCATTTATGAAAGAATATAGTTTTTCATCAATTAGTTGTGTCAGTTGTGTTGTTTGAATACCGAAGTCGAATTAACGAAATCTTTTCCTGAAATTCCTCAGGAATATCTCTAAATTTGTTTTTTTTTCAATAATTCGAAATCAGAAACATTTTGAAGCGGGGACAAAATTATCCATGTCGTTTGAAGGATACGTATGGTATTTTGAAACAACAACAGTACTTTAGATGTTGAATATGTTGAATAATCTTCACTGTAAAAAATTGGGACAAAATAATATTGAATGAAGTCAAGTAGGAAGTGATGCGGAATATTCAATTGTATTATCTACTCTAGATATCTTGATGTACTTGCTAAAGCAGAGGACATTGATGTTTCAGTTATATTTCTGTAGCACTTACTAATGAAGAAATAATATAACAGAGAGTTCACTTGCAAATCCAACAATGCAACAATGGAAATTTAAAGAGTGTGAAAAAGACTACTTCAAATTGATCAAAATGACGTAGCCTGCAGCACCTATAAACGTTCACAGCAAAATGTTATGCTTTTACAGAAAAAACAGATTCGTATCTATTGGCGAATCAATACTGACAAAAATTGATTTTTTATACAGGTCAGAACAGATTCAATACAGGAAAAAACTCAATTGTATTTGACTATTCACTATTCTATTTTAATATTTAAATCTATCACTTTCGAAATTTTACTTTCCACGATTGAACTCATGCCCCTCTGCCGATAAATGGTTTGCTAATATGGCATTACTCTTGACATTCAACAAACACCACTGAAGTTCGATTGCATGACAAAATCATTGTTAGTTATATTTGAACCAGCTAGTTAGTGTCTGGTTTATTCCAGTCATTCAATAAATCGCTGTCCGAAAAGCTGATTCGATTCCGATGACCGGACAATCGATTTTCAAAGCGTACCGTCCAACCGGAGCTAGGAATCGCAAGTTAAAAGATAAGACCTACATAATCTTCAGCTCACATAATTCCACCACAACTGAAGCATCGGTTATTATTCTAAACATTGACTCTTCAATGATTAGAAAACCGTACTTCTCAAATAAACGGGTTTCTAGCAGTACCGAACTATTCGATATTTTAGGATTACTAAAACATATTTCTGCTAATACTTACATTTCATATAAAGAGAATTCAACTGTCGTTACGCAAGAAACTACTAGAGGTAGAAAGTTTTGTATTTCATCAGTTCGGACTTCACTTGTCTAATATAATATATTGGCAAGTGAAGATATTCCCGTAAAAATGTGGCAAATGTTTCATGCGTATAACTTTTTGACACTGGTATATTTCTTCGGAGGCTACTGAAATGTTATCACAGTGTCACCAAGTCTAAAAACTTCTTTTGTAGAAAAATATACACATGCTCGAATACATTTTCGCAAATCTCTGATATAAAGAACCAAAAGATGTACAACAGGCGATTGGTACTCATTTGGAAAATGTTGGTAATCACTGTTATTAAAAGAAAAATGACAGAAAATTCAATTCTTACCAATTCCAGTTGTTGCGACACGAATTTCTACTCTTTTCTCTAACTATATTATTATGTATTTTAAAATGTCCTAACATAAAGTTCCGTTTCAGTTACTGAACTTGTTTCCGATTAACGTTTTCCACCAACTAGAACTGTATATTAGGGAGAAGAGTTTTATATGAGTTTCAACATACCGGCATAGATACACTTGTTGAAAACTATAATATATTCTCGGAACTTTTGAAGCGGTATTTATCACACACATGCGCCTAACATTTGTTTACATTCAAAGTTCCCTTTGAAATGATTACACATATAATTGATTGAAAAGCTCTAACAAGGACTTGAACTGCAGAGTCGTGACTATATTTACCAGGAAATTGCGTTGTCGTTATTGGAAAATTGAATGCTGGAAGTTTTGTTTTTATTACATGCTACATGAAATGAAAATCATTCTGTATGATTTGAGTATTCCGGTAATGATCGGTTCTAACCATTCTGACATACGAGTGGGTATGTTTTTATTAAGGAGAAATCATAACATATTCAGTTGCATCGAAAATGAACCAATATACCGGACGTCCTCAAATATTAGAAAATAGAGTGACGTTACTTAGATGACATTAAAATATCGTGTTATTCCCTGGAAAGTATTTTCAAGATGATGCGTCAAAAGTTATTCGATTTTTTTTCCAATTTGTTTCAGATTTATATTTTTGGATATTTCTGGATATGACAAATACAAATTCGGAAAGATATAAATCTTTATATTAGATCACATTAGCTACTAATATGTTAGTAGCTCACAATTTTTGATTATTTTGAATTTTTTACCCAATGTTCAATATCGAAAGAGAAAATAATATTCAGATTTTCATCACTCACTACATTCTTGTGTTAGTTCTCATGCAGTGAAGACGTGATTGTGAAAGTTAAGTGAAGTGCTACTACCTTAGTCCAGAGGATTATCTCGTATTACCTGAAGGCGTGACGAGTCCCTGATTCTTCGAATCATACTCGTTCGATAGGGTTGACAGAGCCTAATCCGAAAGGCTAGGTACAACAAAACCACCGGACCAACGACTACCCAACTTCCAAATTACCTGGACCAATTCTCAGGAAATAATCAGGTCATATGATTATTTTTCAAAATGACGAGACACACGCGTCTCAACGCAAAAAAAACCTATTCCATCTAACAACTCATCTCCCACGCTCTCAGCCTCCTTCTAAGTACTAATGAGATCTTCAGGGGACACATTAGCGAGTTGAAGGTGAATTTCAATAAGACTGCCCTAATAAAAACCTCAGATTCTTCCAAAACTCCAGAAATATTGCAAAAGCTCCTCAGAGAGAGAGAACAGGACACACCCCTATCAAGTCCTTAACACCGCAAAAATTGATTTCATCAAAATCTGGAGAATTTCCTTCAGAGCTACGAACCGCCCTACCTCTCTGATTCGCCGATAAGACGCATTACACCCATTGCCTCACCCATGGGGTAACCATTTTTGGACGCATTCACAGTGCAAAGCGTCCAACACAAATCCACTCCCCCCCATCCCCAAGTACTATAACATTTGCAGTTCAACAGGATATCTGGCAACAGAATATCCTACACATCAAGTGAAATGTCCCCACTGTGGAGAGGCCCATCTCTCCACTAAATACAAGAAAACATCCACCCCAAAATGCCCCAACTGCAGCGGAGATCACCCCGCTTACTCACTTGAATGCCCTAAACGGCAAGAAATACCCCAGAACCCAAAAGAAATCGTTCCCATTACAGTTAAAAATCCTGCCGATATCACTCAGCAACTCGAAGATTCTCACGGATAAAGTATGATGAGCTGTTTTCTCGGGTTTCGCTCAGTGTTCTGTGTATTTTATCCCCATTTTTGATCATTCCCATATTGATTTCAATTTAAGAGCCACCGGTAGACAGCTGTTTCAGCCTATTGGGCATCGTCAGTACCGGGCAGGCGGTCCTCGATTGAACACAAAATGAGAAAAACCAAGAAAGTACTTGATAAAAATAGCTGCATAAACGCAAGCGAAACATAAGTGGAACCACCTATTAGTGTGACTTGGGTGTCACACCAATAGGTGTGGCTAACTATAACAATATCTGGTTTCAACATGATGGTGGTGAGGTTAGGTTTAAAAGCAGCTCTCAAAGCTGAACTCCGCCTATTCATCATTTCTTCGATTTTTTTTATTTATTTCTTTGAATTATGGTGCTCCAACGCACACTACCAGACGAGTATCTAATTACCTGACTGAAAGGTTTGGTGATGAATGGATAGGGCCAGCAAGGTATCCAGACTTGAGTGTTATGGATACATTCTGATGGGGTACACTGAAGAATAGACTAGTGGGGTACACTAGAGAATAGACTAGATGGTCAGGTCCTCAAGCAGGACTGCTTGACAGGTTCCACTGTTTTGTGAAATTTTCATTATGAAAATTATAGCAATCAATATTTGTTTTCTATAATAGAAACGTTATCAGAATGCCAAAAACATAATTCACTTTCTTCCAATTTTATATAAAAGTGCTCCCCAAAAGTAAAAAAATGATTTTTATGAAATGGTTATGTTTTTTTTCTGATTGATTAGACCGTTACTTGACGAAGATTCATAGTAATTTCACAAACTACACCTAACGATTTGATCTTCACAAACTTTATTTGATAGCGAAACATGTCGTGATACTTCAAAAATAAAGTTTGTGAGGATCAAATCGTTAGATGTCGCTTGTGAAAATCTTTATGTGATGGAATTGGTCTATGAAAATCCATAACGAATTGGTTAAATGCTCAGACAAGTTTTTTAGATAATAATTTTTAACACTCCACTCAATGAAATATGTTGAAATTATGAATTGAGAAAACAACAAAATTCATGGGAGGTTTTGGAAAGTATTTTACTGGAATATTATTAAAGGAGATCATAACTACTGTCCGTTTTCAGCGTGAAATCGTCCTAATCTAATCTATTATTATTGGAGTGATTGAGCGAATTTCTTGACGCCTTCATATTTTCAGATTCATTAAAATGAAATTCACATTTGGAATAATTGCTTAGAATAGTCCATGGCGGGTAAATGTGATGATCTTCCCGACTATTCGATATGTCCCAGTTCACCAATCCTTCAATAAGGAATTATTTAACCGAGGTTTCCTTGAATGTATTAGTAGTACATAGAGATATGTTGTTCAGCTGAAATCAAATTCTACGAACGGATGCATTTAAATATTTAAATATTTTGCATTAGAAAATGACATCATAAGAAGTAGAAAGTGATACACCTCGAAAAATGTTCAGCTATTGTTCACAATTCAATGGCCGAATGATAAGAGAATTTATAAACTATACTAAAACCAATAATGATTGAGAGTAGAAGTAAGCCCAGTTGACAGCAAATCGGGGGCGTGCTTATTATATGCGGATCATTGGATGAAGTGACAATTAGAAACCATTTGCAAATCGAGCAGTATCTCAACTCTGACATTTGTCAAAATATAGTATTCTGGATGTGATGTTGGATATTGGATATTGCAGTTAAATTATGTTCCATTCAGCAAATGAACGCCTACACGATTCACGGTTGTCACGATTTCCTCTAAAAATCAATAATTCGCGAAGTGTTATCACTACATAAACAATACAATAAAATTTTAAGTGAAGTGATTATAGGCAGAAATAACTCATCAAATTATAAACAGTGAATATATTCGACATCATTTGTCCAAGTCAGTTGTGAGACAATACAAGGAATTTTTCAAGTCTTCTTGCTGTCTTATTGTCACACTATGTTACCGGAATATTAGGTAATAAGGTAGGTAGGTATAAGAGTTTTGGTAGCCTCGCGGCAGGCCCTGTATCTAGTGTCATATGACTCTATACCCATGACGAAGACACCATTTCAGTAGGCCATGATTAATTTCATCGTTTCCAATTTGAGCCCATTTGACCTGAGGGAGGTGTAAGTCAAGTTCTTGAATGAGCCAAGGTCTTCAATATTCTTGCAAGAAACTCCTGATCCGGCGTATCTTCATGAAGTCACAGAAGCAAATTGAGCCAAGTTTATTGGCCGCATAGAGAAATGTGCCAACATCAAACTCTTCATCGTCAAGGACCATGCAGAGGAGAAGATTCATACTCCTGTTGACTTCACAAGCTTCATTCAAGACTATTTAGTTTTATAGACACTTCACTTCGAACTAGGCCTCCCAGCTGTCGAGGAATGAATTACCATGAAACGGACAATTCAAAGTGTCAACTCTGATAGAAGTGGAGGTAAAAGGGTTCTGGTAGCTTTAGGGGTTGGATGGACTCTATACCAATCACTCGTCTACAATAGACCAAGGTGATTGAGATACCATCCAAGTGGGCCATGATGAATTCCTCCGTTTCCGATTTCAGCCCAATTGAAGTGAGGAAAATGAATGTCAAGTTCTTGGATAAACCAAGGTCTCCAATACTTTTGTAGAAAACTCAGTATCTGGTGTATCTTCATGAAGTCACAGAAACAAATGGAGCCAAGTTCATTGGCCGCATGAAGAGCTGCCTTGAAGAGAAATGCGCCAACCTCAGCTTCTTCATCGTCGGGGTAGAAGATCCATACTCTTGTAGATATCACAGACTACATTTAAAACCATTTTGTTTCATACACTCTACTCCAAACTTAGCCTTCCAATTCTTGAATAATGTATAACCACGAAACGGACAATTTAGGATACAAACTCCTACAAAGATGCATCATTATACATGTTTTCACGTCTAGTCGGTACAAAGGCACCACGACAATTTTCCGTTGGCGCATCTCAGCAAGGTAGATCACTTCGACAGTTGCTTCATCGACTTTTGATGTCTGCTGCAGTAGCATATAAATCTGCAGACCATGGCTAACATCGGACAAATTGATTATAGATTACTTCATCATCGAAGGTCAAAATAATTCTTCACTTACCCAAATACGGCTATTGCTAAATATGTCAACATCTTGTTTCGGATTGTTAGAGCGTACCATATTGCTCCCAAGCTAATGGCACATGACAGAAATATGATAATGGATGTCTCCCTGAAAAATAATTGGGATAATAGATAATGTTCCATTATGATTGATGAAAGGTATGAATAGGAGTCTCAAAACGCAATTCTTTTATCGCTCTTCCATTAGGACGATTGGACTTTGGTTTCGATGCCACAAGTTTCATGCCCAAAATTTACGAAAAACTGCATGGCATGAGCCAACCGATATGTCTACATCCTCAGCAACTTCTTCAATAGTAATTCCACGATTCTCTATAACAATTTTCTTCACTTTCTCAGCATTATCATCGGTTATTGATGTGCAGGGCGTCCAGGGCGAGCGTCGTTATTCAGATCTTCCCGACTTTCTGTGAAGAGCATGTACCACTTGTAAACATTTTTCTGATTCAGAGTAAAATCACCATATGCCATTGTCAATATTTCATGTGTTTTTGATCACTTTAGTCCACTTTCACACAAAATTCGATGCAAATTCTTTGATCCATTTTTCTCGATAGCGGAAAATCGCCAAACACACAAAAAGAGCTGAAACTGTGACAATATATTTGTAATGAGTCTATCAACATAAAAAATTGAAAAAACTGCTAATCAAATACACGTAACTCGCGAAATTTGAACATTCACCTATCTTTATTACTCGTTATTTGCCAATTCGGAGTACTGTTGAAATGCATATTTGATAAAAACAGACCAAAGATATGGATTATTCAAGTTTTTCTGAGAAATTCATTCTCCAACCAGCTTGAGGAGGTCACGCAGAAAAACAATACAATTATTTCGAAGAATAAATCTCAGATTCTAGCATGAAATATCTCAACAACTTCATAATCAACTTTCAATCATCAGAACAAAGTGTATTCATTTAAATAATGAGCATAGGTGAACTTGTGATCGAACACCAGATGGCGCTGGCCTCATCAGTAATGCTAGGTAGATCCACTAAACTGTTCTGAAAAGAACAAGCCTAACATCTCTTCCCACGAAAACGTCATCTATGGGATCGACAGAAAACACAATCCTCGAATATCAAAGATAAACGTGGCTCCTCAGCTTAGCGCTACTGATGAAACAGCACTGTCTGTTGTTGGATCACAGTTTCATCTAGCTGCCTTGCAGTGAAAGCTGCAGTGAAATGCAGAGGACGAATCTCGTTTGGCTGTCGATGTTGAAGCTTGGCTTCGCAACTATCACCTTACGGAGCCTCGTCTTTGATATTCGAGGATTGGGTCTTCTGTAGATCCCATAGTGGAGTGAAGGGAGATGGTGGAGGAAGATGTCATCACTTTTAGGATTGTTTTTCTTAGCACTATTCAGTGGTTTAGTCTAGCCCCACAGGTGAGACTTGGCTGGTGAATACAACGTATCTGGTGTTGGATTGAAAGTTCATTTAGCTGCCTTGCAATGGAAACTGCTGTGAAAGTTGCAGTGAAAGACAGAGGACGCATTACGTTTCGCGGTGGATGTACAAACTTGAATTTACAAATGACGAACATTCAAATCAAGCATAAACGAGACTCTTTAAGACGGTCTGTTTGAAAGCTAGGCTTGAACAAATGCCGTACTCACACATGCACAGCAGCTTTTACTGTAGGGCAACTAGTTTCTTGGCTGTGGTTTCAACTAGTTGTATTGTAGTGAACTTTGAACTGTCTGGGACAGCCGTCTCGTTTATTTTTAATATTCGTCATCTGATGATTTCAAGGCGGTGTCTATTCACATAGGCTTTTCCTTTGAGGTCAGTTGAGTCCAGCAATGCAATTGTAGTTCAACCTGGCACTACAAATGTATGAGACCCAATGCAGCTGAAATCGCGCTGTTGGATGTTGAATCACGAATGATTTGTTTTAAGGCTCTGGTTTGAACTTTTGATTATATTCTGATTACATATAATTTCCATTTTGCATATTATACTACATTGCATATTATATTGCTAATTGATTTTAAAAAGTATAATAAAACTCTTTGGTGTACAGTAGCTACAGTTTTCTTTCGATATTATTTTCTCCTTGAAGAATCTGTGTATAATTTGCATGAATGCTTTTCTGGTAAGCTTCTTGCCGCTTCAGTGTATTTGGTGTTAATATTGTTAAACCACATCCTAATATTGAAACTGCAATCATTCCAAAGAGACACCAAGATGATCCATATGAGGTTAAGACCTTTCCAAATATGATAGTAAGAATCACCGACATAGTCATTGCTGTGGCGTAAACGAGCCCCATTATTGTGCTTTCAGGAGAGGGATATGCTATTTCTGTGCCAAATTCCATTCCAGCTGGCAAATAGGCGTTCAGGAAAAACCTGAAATATAAGTCAATTCAATGAACAAAATGAATAAAATATTTCAATATATTACATCAGAGAATAATATATTAATCAGTGAGAGAGTGATGCGGACATCGCTACTGGGAATGAGGCGAACGACGTGAATCTTTTGAGCGAATAATGACTATTTTTCGTGAATGGAATACTACATTTTTTCATTTCCTTTCATTTTCCTTCGGTGATATTTTCAAAAGAGTTTCGTCTGTAGACGATATTTTAAATGAGGGTAATACCATCCAACCTAGAAACTAACTAATTCGATAATAATATCCATATTTGTTATTTCATTCAAATTTCGAAGCGTCCAAAAATTGAAAACTACCGTCAGTGTGATTTGAACCCAAAATAACTGACTTACAAGCCCTGAGTTCTACCAATTCCTCCAAGGAACTGCTCACATATGTAAGTAAATTAAAGTAAATTCTACCTCTTTCATTTACTGAATTGTGTAGCATTCCTGTGGATGATATCTGATTCAATAACAAATAAATAACATCAAAAACGAGAAAAAAAAAGTCGACACCGATCAAAAAATAATCGCTGACAAAAAATAATCGCTGACATGTTCAACAGCTTTTTCGTGAATGTAGGAGAAAACCTAGCGAAAAAATCCTATTTACAAAAATATGAAAAATATAAGGAATAATTTAATTTTTCTCACACCTACAAGTATGAATGAGATAAGGAATACTATGAATGAATTGAAAACACTCAGTTTCATATTCTATTTTTTCATGACTGTCTCTATTGTAATCCCACAAACAAGTGTGTATGATACTTCTGTAGATATCATTAAGTTTATTCATTTTTATACCCAACTCTTATATTATTGTATCGATTTTATTTTATCACGAATAAACGTCATTATTATCATTACTATTATTAATAATTCCATAATGAATGATTGGAATACCAAAAGTATTTTTTGTATATTCCAGTGCTCATATAAAACTATTCGTTTCGAAAGTATTTTTGATTCGTAAAATTCTCTGTTTCGAGGAGGATTTTCTTTCAGTTTGTATCTGAAAGTTACTTCTTCATATGATCTTCACAACTTTATATAAACTCAACTTTTTTGAAATTGATCACTTCTTTACTTTTTTTAAAGATTCCCACTTTTTTGTATGAAGATGGAGAAGTAGAAAGCTAAATTCTTTCTTCCCCATAAATGAATCTCTCTTCAAAATATACTCCTTTCAATCTATGACTTCATCGGTAATTTTTCGAAAATATTTCGAAATTATCAAATTATATAAGCATAAAGAAGCATTCTGAAAAATTATTCAAAATCTATTTGTATTTTAATTCAATTTCAAATACTTAAACGAAGTATATAAATGAAGGAGCTATTGTATGGCGTGTTGCGTTTTTGTGAAAATGTGTAGTGAAAATATCACAATGAAGTGTTTCTTGAATACTGAAATAAAGGTACTTAATCAATAGGAAGGATTTTGTCAACAACGTATTGATGTACAGCTTGAATCAACAAATGGACGTTGTTTTTGATTTTATTGAGAGCTGTGGATCACGCAGTTCTGTAGAGAAATGTCCAGCGCATGCGGCTCTGAGTCGAATAAAAGAAAGAAGGGTGGATTATGTACTGTTCACACATATTTCAACAAACTGACAGAAAAAATTAATAAAAGCACACCACTCTCCCCATCAATCAAGGTTATTGATCAGACTAAAATGAAATCATGATACTCATCAAATTTCTATCATTCAAAGTCTCCGCCTTGTCTGTCTGTACGACAGACAAAAACTGATTTTCATACGATTTGATTTTCTTCAATAGAAGGAGTGATTCCAGAAAAAGCTTTATTTATATGATGTATCGATATGATTTCGTGAATTGGTTGGAATATGATAATGCTATTCATAATAAGTCGTGGTGATATTTATAAGTTAGCCTTTCAACTTGATTTTTGACATAACCTTTGAACCTATTGCTATATACCGATATAATTCTTCAATTCACAAGAACTTTTCTGAGAGCACTTTTAAATTCTAAAAAGTGTGACACACTGTATGCGGATCATTGGATGAAGTGACAATTAGAAACCATTTGCAAATCGAGCAGTATCTCAACTCTGACATTTGTCAAAATATAGTATTCGTGATGTGATGTTGGATATTGCAGTTGAATTATGTTCCGTTCAGCAAATGAACGCCTACACGATTCACGGTTGTCACGATTTTCTCTAAAAATCAATAATTCGCGAAGTGTCATCACTACATAAACAATACAATAAAATTCTAAGTGAAGTGATTATAGGCAGAAATAACTCATCAAATTATAAACAATGAATATATTCGACATCATTTGTCCAAGTCAGTTGTCAGTCAATTCAAGGAATTTTTCAAGTCTTCTTGCTATCTTATTGTCACACTATGTTACCGGAATATTAGGTAATGTTGGTGTGTCATCGAAACCGTAGGAGTAGGTACTGCAGACAGTACTGTAACGCTCGTCATGCTGCGTTGTGTCAATGAATATAGGCTGAGAACGCATATGCCGAAACGTTTCCGATTTCAGCCCAATTGAAGTGAGGAAAATGAATGTCAAGTTCTTGGATAAACCAAGGTCTCCAATACTTTTGTAGAAAACTCAGTATCTGGTGTATCTTCATGAAGTCACAGAAACAAATGGAGCCAAGTTCATTGGCCGCATGAAGAGCTGCCTTGAAGAGAAATGCGCCAACCTCAGCTTCTTCATCGTCGGGGTAGAAGATCCATACTCTTGTAGATATTACAGACAACATTTAAAACCATTTAGTTTCATACACTCTACTCCAAACTTAGCCTTCCAATTGTATAACCACGAAACGGACAATTTAGGATACAAACTCCTACAAAGATGCATCATTGTACATGTTTTCACGTCTAGTCGGTACAAAGGCACCAGGACAATTTTCCATTGGCGCATCTCAGCAAGGTAGATCACTTCGACAGTTGCTTCATCGGCTTTGATGATGTCTGCTGCAGTAGCATATAAATCTGCAGACCATGGCTAACATCGGACAAATTGATTATAGATTACTTCATCTTAGAAGGTCAAAATAATTCTTCACTCACCCAAATACGGCTATTGCTAAATATGTCAACATCTTGTTTCGGATTGTTAGAGCGTACCATATTGCTCCCAAGCTGAGGGCACATGACAGAAATATGATAATGGATGTCTCCCTGAAAAATAATTGGGATAATAGATAATGTTCCATTATGATTGATGAAAGGTATGAATAGGTATTTGATTATGTCTAAAAAAGTATTTTTATGGAGATTACATAAGACTATTCGATGCAAAGTCGAAGTGAAGACCCGGGTAAAAATTGGGTGGGTTGGATTTACCAAAGTTGAACAATATAAAGTAATATTATGTTTGAAATCCAATTTTGTGTGTCGGACATATGGGAAAACCTTAAAAATTTCTGTTTTATGGGGACAGAATATGTTTATGAAGCTTTCATACAGAGTGGCGTACTAAGTGAGCCATCATCAATTTACATTTTTATATGCCAGTTTCTGATCGACAATTCCAATTTGATATTGATTACTATGTAATGGTTTCCTGTGTTTCTTGAAAGTTTCAGAGCATATAATGTTTATACAGGGTACATAGTGTTTTGTAACCTTACAAAAGCGTTTGATTGCGTTGATCATAAAATACTGTATGGAGATCAGTCATCATTTTCAAAGTCATGCGTGCAATACCCTGCAAGAAGACAGTAGACATGATAGATGCTATACTTTCCAATAGAAAACATGATTGCTCAGGAGAAGCTTAACAACGGTTTACCATGGGGATCATGAACCCTACCGTTCAATTTATATATTACTGACATGCCTGAAAGAGTTCGAGAAAGTTCGGATAAGCTGACGACTGGACCCTAGCTGCTACACACAAAGATATTGAAGTCACCGAAGATATCCTAACAAACGACCTACTGGCTATCGGGCAATACTTTCGCAAGTGGAGACTAAAACCAACTGCTGCTTAGACACAGGTCTCTAGTTTCCACCTGAACTACAAATTAGCCAATAGAGAACTGAAAATCTACTTTGAAGGCATGCTACTTAAACACAATAAGCAACCTAAATACCTAGGGGTTACACCAGACAGAACGTTTAGTTTTAAAGAACATCTGTCGAAAACAGCAGCGGTGTGGCTTGATAGCGCTCACGATGGCCTAGTTGTCCAGATGTCCATCTCAACCAAACAATGCGACTTATTACAGGTGCGATCAAACCAACACCTACTTTCTGGCTCCCCATATGAATATCTATCAATGTAGAGGAATACGAGATACGACTCAAACGGTGGATTGAGTCGTATCTCAATGGTCGCAGTCAGATTGTAAAAATGACTGAATGTTCAAACAGTATTGAAATGAATACTGATTTACCACTGGAATCGGTTCTCGATCCTATATTGTTCCTGTTGTATATTAACTATTTGATGAACATAAGTGTATCTGGAACATTCACTCTTTTTGCTGAGGACACCACTATATTGTGGCATAGTGAAGGTTTCTATTCAATCAATGAGACAAGAGCTCATGATATACAGAAAATCAAGTCATGGTGTGATTCCAATCTACTCTTCCTTGATATTATATATTATAACTTTTGAAAATAACAAATGCACAATTTCTTCTGCACTCTAAGCTGTCAATATTGACCCTCATGCATAATTCCTCATTGTTTGTTCCCCTTTAAGGATATGTACCATCTATTTTGAAAATGAGAAATTTCAAAAATATTTTTTGAACGCCCTCAATGGCTGCTTTATGACACTCGTAAAAAGGGGACCAGACAATACTAGCATATTCAAGTTTTAATCGTACATTAGAAAAATACAGTAGTTTCAATGCTTTGATGTTGGTGAAATTTCTACAATTTCTCATTATGAAACCGTATGTCTTCAGTGCTTGGGAGACTTTTAAGGTTGTGTTTTCTATGAAATTCAACTCTTTGTCAAAAATAACACCTAAATCCTTGATTTTGGTACATCGTTCTAGTTGAGTATTCTCAACCTTGTAAGAATAGTGTATTGATGTAATTTTTCTAGTATAACTCAGAACTTTGCATTTTCTAACGTTAAGACATAACTTGTTAATATTGCACCAATTTTGAATATAATCCAGTTGTTTCTGCAGATTTAAGCAGTCATTCGTATCATTCACAATAGAAAAATCTTCAAATCATCAGCAAAGCACAACCTTTCACATATTAAATTGTTACATAGATCATCCACAAATATTAAAAATAGAAGTGGTCCCAAATTTGCCCCAGAAATGGTGAATATTTTTTCATATAATAGTTCTACAGCCATATTAGCATCTGTTACATTGGAAAAATCCCAGTTCATCTCATACAGTGTTCTATATAGAGCTGGAAAGTTTGCTCTTCGGAAATTATACGATTTTTGTTGTAAATTACTTCTAAAATTCGGTTGTTTATTCATGATACTAGTAAAGTTTATCATCAGAGCTGGGTGATGCCCATCTTCATACACTAATGGATTATAGTCCCTGGTCACCTCACAATCCAAATTGGAAATAACCAAATCTAGTAATCGGCCTAAATTATTCCTAATTTGGTTTAATTGTTTCAAATTGGATATTTCCAGGAAGTTTTTCATTGTTACTACTTTGGTATCGACAGAGTTATCATCAGTAAATTTGGGAATATTAAAATCACCTATCATAATAACTGAACCATCACTGAGATAGTTGAGTTGTTCCAGGTACTCGAAGACGACTTCAAATTCAACCGAACTTACTTTGTCAGGTATATACATCGCAACAATATGATAGATTTTCATATTTCAAGCATTTCAAAATTAATGAATCAATTGAAGGAAATTCGACATCGAAATGGGAAGTATCTACTAATTCAGTTTTGAATGTACTCTTACAGGCTAATAGGACACCTCCACCATCAACTTTCGAAACCAGGTCAAGTCGACGATCTTTTCTAAAGACATCATATTCATCCGGCAACAGCTCCGAGCTCAGCACATCCCGATTCAACCAAGTTTCGCTCAAAACGACCAAATCATATTCACCCTCACTCACTGATGCATAGAAAGAATCAACTTTACTTTTAAGACCACGTACGTTCTGGTAATAACAAAGTACGTTTTTGTAAACAAAACTGGAACTGTTGGAGCAACTTAGTTTAAAGCTTTCACTATCCTTGGATTTCCATTGACATATTTGAGTCTGAACTTCTCAGTTCCGTTTCTGTTCCTACTTTCGACTTCCTCCTTGAGTTTTTTGTAATGGGCAAGTTGTCTACGAGTGCGATCAACAGATATAGAAATTTTGTTGAATTGGCTGTTTCTCAGGGTGTATACCTTCTTGATCAAACTCCTAACTTCACTCTCGCTATTCAATATAAGTTTGATTGGTCTGTTTTTCCCGACATCAAAGCGGCCCATTCCACTCAGTTTGATGTCAACTAGGTCAATTTCTGGATCTAGAAAGTTTATGACCTTGGTAACATCAGTTTTATCTTTTTGCACTCTCACTGGTATATCATCGTTTTGATCTTGTTCAGGAAGACCGAAGATCATCACATTCTTTTTGCGTTTATTCCGTTCATTCAATTCCTCGATCATCTCTTCAAAATCACCACTGCTCTCCGCACTAGGATCTGTTGATTCACTCTTTTCTTTCAGCAGTTTAATACCATTCTGTAGGGCTAGGATAATATTTTTCAAATCTTTGATTTGATTGCCAATCTTTCTGCAGTTGATGCATGACCAATCATAGCCTTTATTTGGATCGCTTAATATCTGAAGTTCATTGATAGTAATATTAACACATGCATTCCGGAACTCTCTTGAGCATACTGAACATGCTAAGAGAAAATTTGATTTATACGACTTACTGCAGCACGAGCAAATGAAGTTTGAAACCGGCATTTTGGTACGCCACTGCAATACTGTTTGAATGCTTCGATTTTCAGTATATCTATATTAGTTTGTTTATCAGTTTTTTCACAGGATTTCTTAGAGCAGTTTAGTTTTTTTGCAGGGTACCTTCATTTGTAATTCCACAGTAAATGGCTTGTAACTCTCTTATTTGAAAATTTTGTTGCAGCAAACTAATATCATTTGCCAGATTATTCGAATTGTTACGATTTGTGAAAAATTTCACTTCAAACACTTAATGAATAACTGCGGAAATTCGATTCTATCAGGAGTACTTAAAGTACGTCCTCACACTTCACACAATATGGGACTTTTTTATAAGGATGCCATCTTGCCAGCATCACCCTGTACGACCCTGGGAAGCTGGCACTGAAGAAATATCTGACGATGACCAGGAAAAATCTACGCTTAACGGTAGGATTTCTGACTGGCCAATGTCAACTAAGGAAACACCTCTATATTATGGGGCTACTGGACACACCTCTATGCAAGATGTGTGAACAGAAAGATGAAACTGTCAGGCATGTTCTATGCGAGTGTTCGGAATTTCCGTCAATAAGAGAGTGTGTGTTCGGCGAGTCTTGGCCTACACCTTCCGATATAAAGGAGATGTCTCTTATTGACCTATCCTCCTTCCTAGAAAGGACAAGATGGACGATGACCTAAAAGGACAACTCCTCGGGAGAATATACAATGAGTCACATGTGGTCTTAAGTGCTGTGGGCCTATAGTCACCATTCCTACTCTACAGATATGTATCACAATTTTGATTTTGATATACTGCGGTGAAATAATTATCCCAAGCCAGCTTGACTCTTTGGAAATCAAAATAACACAGAGTGTATAATCCATCTCTGCTAATAATTCTCCCGACTATGAAATTCTATTCAGCTCATCGGTTTGGGATTTAACAACGAAAAATAATTTATTTGTTTGAGAAACGGTTTTATTTCTATTCTCCTGCATTGTTCGAGACAACTCGATGAATACATTTTAATCAGCACATTCTCGTCTATCCAGAGCTCTCTATCAAAATTATTAAAGCGTTTAATACTGCACTATTCCGAATCACGTTTATGTTTATGGGGATCGCGGCTCGCTTTGTTATTTGCCCAAATGATTTCACGATAGACAGATTTATTGCATTACCAATAATCACGTTCACATTCGATCGATTTATAAGGCTCAGTGAATTCCAGAAGTTATAATACCGTGTTCAATACTCAATTCTCACACCATCCATACCCCAATAATAAACTAAATCAAAAAAT